AAAATTAGTATATTTCTTCTTTTTACAAAATTTTATTAGCAAAATATACAAAATTTACAAAATTTTAAAAAGTTATTCTAAGTGATTTTATTCTATTATATTCAATATATTTAAGTTCAAAATTTAAAAATAAGTTAATATGTAGGTTTAAAAGGATCTTTAGTTTAGAGTTTATAGTAAATTTATATATTTTTTTATAATTTTTATTATAATTTGTCACTTGGTGTAATATCTTCCCTGACTATTATCTTGACATATACATCATTTTTGCTAATTACAATTAACAATGTCTTCGAGTTTTTTAACATCCTTATACTAGCTAGTGCTATGAAGCCGATGCTAAGCTTCTTGCATCTCCAATACAATTTGATATTTTTAAAAGAAAGCATCAAGCTCTAATCCATTCAAGAAAGGAAGGCAATATTTAATCATAGGTTTATTATTAAGAATTTTCTTAACTATCTAAATACATCTAGTCTAGAATTTGCGATTTTTCTTAGATTCTCTTTCTGTTTGATTCTGTTCTAGTTTTAAAATTCTAGCCTCAAGCTCAGTGATCAGTGCTTCAAGTTCAGATAATATGATAAATAATATTTTTATACATGAAAGAATTATTCAATATTATATAACAAATATAAAATCACTTTATTAATACAAGCAATAAATACAAAGTTTGGAACTATGCCCTTAATATATAATGATTTTTTCTATGCTAATATACAGTCAAACCTCTCTATAATCACACACTCGGGATACAAAAATGTGTGATTATAAAGAAGTGTGACAGTTATAGAGGTCAAATTTAATATATTTAATAATAGTTTGTTTTTAAAAAAATATGCTTATAAAGAAAATGTGCTTATATAGGAGGTGACTATAGAGAGGTCTGACTATATATGCCAATACCTTATGACTGATTATTTTCTTTTGATTTTTTTCTTCTATATGATGCTCTTAGATACAGAGTTATTAAGTTTAGGCATATTGCAAAATATAAATCACTTATACAAAAATGCATGTACTGTGAAAAATAAAAAGATAAAAGCTAATCAGGCAGAAATTTTATGCTAGAGAAATTTTATTATAGGACTGGATAAAAGTGTAGGCAAAATTTTGATTAAAGAAAAAGTGGGTATGAAAAAAGTCAAAGGACTGATTTATGATTTTATTTTTGCACACAATTCTGACACAAATAAAAAACTTTATATTAATACATTAGTAGAGCCAGGAAGGTTTACAAGTTTATTAAAAAAATAAGAATTGATAAAATCAAGTATATTAAAACATATAGTACAAATTCTATTGCAGAATTATCCAATAATCAAATTTAAACTATTATTAATTATTTCTCTAAAAATTCTAACACTAAATTACTAGGTGGTCAGGATAACTCTATCATAGATTCTAAAGAGGAGATTTTGGATAATTAGAATGATTCTGAAGAGGTGATTTTAGATGATCAGACTAATGCATCAAAGATACAAGCAAATAGCTTGGTTTCAACTAAGGCAAGTATATCAATATCATCTATTTTATTAACTCATATCTCTAATTCTTTAGTAAGTATACCTAATTATTTTTATGATAAGAACAAGATAAATGATATGGATATAATACTTTCTGATAATAACGATGATAAAGGTTATTACTATAATTTAAATACTGGCGAAACTTATAGAAAATCAGATTATTCAATTTACGCATATTAAATCAGGATCAAAATTTTTCATATTAACACTTTTTTACCTGTATCTCTACTAATTAATAATTGCAAATTATATTGTAAAAAATCATGTAAAAATAAAAAATTGGGAGCCTAGCAGGCCCTTTTTTATTTAAAAAAAAATACTAAATGGTATACAAATAAAACAAAATATATTAACTTTGCTCTAGAATATTTAGTGCATCTTTATAGCTTAAATGAAAATAGTTACTATTATCTAAACAATATTATGCATATTCTCTAGAAATATAATAAAGAGGATTGCTTTCAAGCAAATCATCATTTTCTTCAGAATCATAGTCTAGATCATCTAAATTAATTTACATAGTTCAATAAATTAAGATTTTTTAGCTTATTGTTTTAGCTTCTTGGCTTTAGTAGAATTTTATTTACTATATCTATTTCTTCTATTTTTGTGTTGATGATTGAAATTAAATATTCTTTGGCTAGGTTTTGGATTAGGTGGTGTTGAAGTAACAGAATAGACAGTATTGAGAATGTTACTATTATTAGTTCTGGGGGTAGTGGTGATATTGATTATAGTAGTAGTGCTATTATTAGTCTTGAGAATAGTGCTATTATTAGTCTTGGGGTAATAGTATCATTAGTATTAGAGGCGGTGTTATCATTAGCACTCATTTTTCATTTCTAAATACAAAAATAAATCAAAGTAAGCAAAAATTCATTTTCATAGTCTCTGTTAAATCAAATAACAAATTACTTAAAAAAATACAAGCAAGTGAACTAAGTAAAAATATATATAAGCAAAAAATAATATTATTGCTTACTTATTTTAAGATGGAAAATTGCTTATTTATACTATCTATTTGTTAAAATTAAAAACCTACCAAAAAAAAAGTTATATCAAATTATCAACTCTTCCTGACGATCACTGTGACCAAAGTTAGAGCAGAACCAAAACACAGCAAAAATCACTACGGGACTAGATAAACGTGCAGTGAGCAATTAGAAAAGAATAGTAGTTATTGTAAGAGGAAGTTATTCTCTTAAGACACTAGACCGCAATAGAAAATAAATAGGCTAGTTACTTTGAAGAAACATTTTTTG